CAAAAAGAAATTCATATACTAAAAGTAAAAAGAATAGAAAATAATTCTCCATGCCACAGGAACACAGAAAAAAGCAGGGGTAGCTATTCTGTTTGTAGACAATGCAAACCTCAAGCCAAAACTGATCAAAAGAGACAAACAAGGTCACTACACACTTACTAAGGGAAAATTCCAAGAAGAACAGATAACAACCATAAATATATATGAATCAAACACTGGTACACTGAACTACATAAAATAAATATTAACAGGTATGGAAAACCAAATAAGCACTAACACAATTGGGGGGGGTCTCAATACACCACTCTCACAAACAGATAGATCAACCAGACAAAAAAAAAATCAACAAAAAAATATCAGAATTAAACCAAGCCTGTGATCAAATGGACCTGGTAGATGTCTACAGAGTGTTCCACTCCAAAACATAAAAATATACACTCTTTTCAGCTTCACATGGGATAATCTCCAAAAGAGACCATATATTAACTGAAAAACTATGTTTAAGTAAATGTAGAGGAATTGAAATCATCTCATGCATACTATCTGACCATAGTGCAATGAAACTGGAAAGCAATGACAAAGGAAATCACAAAAACTATATTAACAGATGGAAATTAAACAACACCATTCTGAACAACCAATGGATCACAGAGGAAATTAAAGATGACATTAAACAGTATATACAATTAAATTATGATGCTGATACATATTGAAACTTATGGGAGGCAATGAAAGCAGTCCTAAAAGGGGAATTTATAGCGATGAACTCACACATCAGGAAAACAGAAAGAGCTCAAATAAACAACCAGATGTTGAACTTCAAACTTCAATAAGAAGAAGAAATCAAATCCGAAGCTTATATGAAGGAGGAAATTATAAAGATAATAGAAATTAATGCAATAGAGACTAAGAAAACAATACAAAGAATCAATGAATTAAAAAGTTGGTTTTGTGAAAGAAAAAATAAAATTGGTAAACCATTAGCCAACCTCATCAAAAAGAGGAAAGAAAAATGAACATTCAAGCAATTAGGAATGAAAAGGGGGACTTTAGAAGGATCCCACAGAAATGCAGGAGATCCTCAATATCTACTATAAGAACCTATACTTTACTAAAATGGAAAACACAGGACAGATTCCTAGACACAACTGAATTGCCTAAATTAAATCAAGAAGATATAAAAATTCTAAATAACCTATCAGCCAATGAAACTGAAAATGCAATTAGAAATTTACCAACAAAGGAAATGCCAGGCCCTGATGAATTCATTGTTGAATTCTACAAGAGATTTAGAGAAGAACTAATGCCACTAATGCTGAAACTCTTTAAAGAAATTGAAAGGGAAGCAATACTTCCAAAATCATTCCTGGAAGCAAGTAATATCCTTATTCCAAAACCAAAGAACCGAATCAAAAAAGAAAACTACAGGCCAATCTCCCTAATGAACACTGATGCAAAAATCTTTAATAAGATACTGGTAAACAGAATGCAGCAAATCATCAAGAAGAGTATACATCATGACCAAGTAGGATTCATTCCAGAGACACAGAGATGGTTCAGCATACACAAATCAATACATGTAATCCACCAAATTAATACAACCAAAGACAAAAATCACATAACCCTCAGGGCTGGGGATTTAGCTCAGCGGCAAGGCGCCTGCCTGGCAAGCGCAAGGTCGTGAGTTCAGTTCCTGGTACTGGAGAAAAACCAAAAATAAAAAAAAAAAAAAAATCACATAACCCTCTCAATAATGCAGAAATAGCATTTGACAAAGCCCAATACCCATTCATGATGAAAGCCCTAGAGAAAATTGGAATAGATGATCTTTACTTCAATCTTGTAAAAGCCATTTATGACAAACCAACAGCTCACATCATATTAAATGGTCAAAAACTGAAAGTTTTCACTCTAAAATGAGGAACAGGACGAGAATGTCCATTATCACTACTCCTATTCAACACAGTCCTGGAAACATTAGCCAGAACAATTAGACAAGAGAAAAAAATAAAAGGAATAAAGATAGGAAAGGAAGACATTAAATTATTATTATTTGTAGAAGAAAGGATGTTTGACATAGAGGACCCCAAAAACTCCATCAAAAATCTTGTAGATTTAATATTCAAATTTAGTACTATAGCAGAATACAAAGTCAACAGTAGCCTTCCTATACACAAACAACAAACTCACAGAGAGGGAAATTACAGAAAACACACTCTTAATAATAGCACCTTAAAAAAATTGAATACTTAGGAAATAATCTAACAAATGATGTAAAAGATTTGTAAAATAAAAATTACAGTACCCTAAAAAAGGAGATCAAAGAAGATATCAGAAAATGGAAAGATATCCCTTGTTCTTGGATAGAAAGAACCAACATAGTGAAAATGGCAATACTCCCAAGACTGATACACAGACTTAATGCAATCCAAATACAAATACCATTAACATACCTCACAGATCTGGAAAAAACATTTCTAAAATTCATTTGGAACCAGAAGAGAATTAGAATAGCAAAAGCAATTCTGGGCAACAAAGGCAAGGCAGGAGGCATCACAATCCCTGACTTGAAATTGTACTACAAAAAGCTACTGTGATAAAACCAGCATGGTATTGGCAAAAAAAAAAAAAAAAACAGACTTGAAGATCAGTGGAGCAAATAGAAGATGTAGATGCAACCCCAAATACACTCACCTACCTAATCTTTGGCAAAGGGGCTAAATGTGCCCACTGGAAGAAAGATAGCCTCTTTAATAAATGGTGCTGGAAAAGTTGGCTCTCTACATGCCAAAGACTAAAACTAAACCCATGTCTATCACCTTGCACTAAACTAAAATCAAAATGGATCAAAGACCTAAATATTAAAATAGAAACACTAAATCTGTTGGAAGAGAGAATAGGCAGCACCCTTGAAGACAAAGGTGTAGGCAAAGATTTCATGAACAAAATCCTGATTGCTCAAGAAATATTATAAAAAAAATCAGTAACTGAGATCTTATCTTATTAAAAAGCTTTTGCATAGCAAAAGAAACCACCAAGAGAGGGAAAAGATAACCCAAACCAGGGGAAAAATTTTTAGCCAGTTGTCCCATAAAGAATTTGTTTAATCCCTCCTGGTTCCTGTTGCTACATATAGTGATTATGAGAGGAGGCTGGGTGATTTCTGAGGTTCTTTCAATACTACCAGTGTTGAATGACCAGAAGCCTAGCAGAAGACAGAATAGGCAGAACCTTGAAGACATGTATAGGCAGAGACTTCATGAACAAAACCCAGACCACATGGGAAATACTACAAAGAATCAATAAGTGGAATCTCACCTTATTGAAAAACCTTTGCACAATAAATGAAACCACCAGCAGCGTGAAAAGACTATCCACAGAATGGGAAAAAATTAGAGCCAGTTGCCCCTCAGACAAAAGACTTATATTAAGAACATATAAAGAACTAAAAAAAATCAGGTCCCCAAAATTCAAAGACTCCATCCAAAACAGGGCATCTGAGATGAATACATACTTCTCAGATGACGAAATACAAATGGTAAAATAAAACCATAAAAAAAATGTTCAACATCATTGTCATTCAAGAGATGCAAATGAAAAGAACACTGAGATTTCATTTCACTCCAGAAAGAATGACTGTCATCAAGAAATCAACCAATAACAAATGCTGGACGGACTGTGAGGAAAAGGTAACTCTTCTCCACTGTTGGTGGGAATGTAGGCTGGTACAACCACTGTGGAAATCAGTATGGAGATTCCTTTAAAAACTAGGATTAGAAGTCCCATTTAATTCAGCTATTCTCCTTCTAGGCATCTTCCTAGATTAATGAAAAATATCATATCACAGCAATATATGTGCATCCATGTTTATAGCAGCACAATTTGTACTACCTGTCAATGAGTCCTTGGTTGATCAGTATTGCATGTCTGTATCTGTTTTCATGAGAAACCACTTTGAAGATATAAATATGTAATACAACAAGCATTGTTAATTCCCTACCACTTTGTTTGTAACTCCGTATTGTCTGTACTGTTCTTTTGCTATTTTGTAAAATGTTGTCTGTCTGTTAATGTTTTCCTCCTTTTATTTTTAAAATTTAAAAAAAAATTGTACTACCTAAATCTTGGGAGCAACTCAAATGTTCATTAATGGAGGAATGGATAAAAAAGATAATAGTGTTATTATATAATGGAGTACTACTCAGCCATAAAGGAGGATACCTGGAGACTTTTATAGGTAAATGAATGCAACTTGACAGCATACTCATAAGTGAAATAAATCAGAACCAAATGTGTACATATCATATTGTCTCACCAGTGTGAGAAACTAAATGAATAAATAAGATCCAAAATGTACAATATATCATGTAAACTGGGAAGAAATTATTCAGAAGAAAAGACAAAGTATGATGAGGTAAAGGAGAAAGGAAAAAAGGGAAAAAGAAAAAAAATATATTTATACACAAGATAGTTAAGATAGCTATACACACTAGTTTCTCTTAATTCATTGAAAAGGAAAGTTTTGGGCTAATATTGTTTGGACAAGATATCACGACTATAACCTATACTCTGAAAAATGATGAAGACAACAATACACAATGTATTAGTTATTGTAACTCACCTACTAGCCTATTTTGAAATTCTGTTTTATTGTTATTTTCATTTGTTTTTTTTCTCTTTAAAATTAAAAAAAAAAAACTCAAAAAACTCAGAACATTCTTCCTTCTTTATGGTCTTTTTAAAACTTAATGCAAATCATCCATAGCAATAGCCTTGGTTACACAATAATACTGCAATAAATCATGGTGTGCATTGCCTATCTCAAACATAGAAATATCTAGCCCTAACATATGCTAAGGTTTTCAGCAGTGACCCTGCTTTTGAGATGTAATCGGCAATGAAGCTTTTTTTATTAGTAACTCTCTTTTATTAGTAACTCTCTTTTATTAGTAACTCTCTTTTATTAGTAATGTGAGAGGCATAAACATAGCAATTATCACCTGTGGCAACATGACGTCCCATTCCAAAGATGGCATAAATGACGGCAGGAAACAGAGACCCATATAGTCCAAAAACAGGGTGCACAGATGAAAGAATAGCAAAAGCCAATCCTGTGAAGAAAACCAAGGTAATTAGGGCCATAAAATGACATCAAATTATAATCCATTGCATAATGAAAAGGTTATTGTTTTATTTAAAGCCAACATGAAACATAATATACTCTACTCATGCAATAAAAACCTAACATTATTGTGCTAAGTAGAAGAAAAGTCACTCATTAATTCATACATATACTTCAATTCTAAACCACTATTTTTAAACTATTCTTTCTTGGTGGCAGAGATGTCTCTAAGAAAACAGTGGTTTAGAGCATCTTGTTTGTAAAAGGTAGATGTGATAGTACTGTAACAAAATGTTTACAGACACTTAGGTTTTAGGGGCATTTTCACATTTTGTAAGTTATTTGCACAGTAGAACTTGTGAGACTGGCAGAAGCAGTAACTTTACCACTGACCGATGAGAAGCCTTATGTGGAATGGATCTAAGACTGCAGCCCAAAGGGTTCCTATCCAAAGGTGGCTGGTTGGCTGGCTGGCCAACCTAAGACTGTGTGTTACAGTGGCCGAGCAATGGCCAAACCCATCTGTTTCCCACCATCTGGACCCTAGTCTATATGTCAGGTATAGTTTCCTAGAGTGGAAAATAAATCAACTTTGCTTATTCAGTGAGTAATGATTAACTTATAACTAATACTTTTTATTCTTCATGGATACTGCTGTCTATATAGTTTATTCAGCACATGAGCATAGAAAAATTTCCTCAATATATCTAAATGATCATGGGTGGTTTGAATATGACCCAAAGATAGATTAGTACAGGTTCACTGAAAGTATGTTGTTTGGTACAATAGATAATGTGAAAAGGAAAGGAATTGCTTAAAGGAAGGAACAACTGAGATGAGGGAAGGAAAAAAAAGAAAGATGGAAAGAGATATATATAGATAGATAGCTTGGGAACTGTACTGCTGATGTTTGGTGATTTATTGAAAGGAACAGTTTATGCTTAAAATTTTTTATATTTTGACCAATTTTGCATGCTCATATCTGGTAATCTAAGCAACTGATTTGAAGATAACAATATGCAATAGAACAACCACTGGTGAATTCCTACCATCTTGTCTAGTGAAACTCTGTATTGTCTCTAATGTTTGTTTTAACAATTTTTTTAATTGTCTTTAATGGATTGAGCAATCTTCTATTCTTACATCTGGTAATTTGGCAACTTCATTGAAGATAACAATATCTAATATAACAACCACTGTTAATTCCTATCATTTGGTTTTGAAACCCTGTATGTCTTTTTTTGGGGGGGGTACTAGGAATCAAACTCAGAACCTTGTGCTTTCCAGGCAGGCACTTGTGCCACTGAGCTATATCCGTGGCCCCCCTGTATCATTTTTAATGTTCTTGCCTTGTTTTGTTTATGTCTGTGATGTTGGTATTTTTGGTTTTTTTTTTACTACTCTTTTTAAAATAAAAAATTTTTAATAAGTATATTGTCTGTAGCTGGTCCTTGGCATAAGCAACTACTATGGTAGGTTCTAACAAATCTATCCAAGCCTATGACATCAATGCTAGGCATTGGTTTTGACATAAAGGACTTTACAAGTTTCAAGGAGACTCAAGAAAAGAGGTGGCATTAGAACCTGGAGCGCCTGATACAGGCCAGGTCATTCTTCTCACTACAGAGCCTGGAAGCCTGGTTCCAATAGCATTTGTTTTTACCGTTGAACTTTTACCACTTTAGAGTACACTTAATTGTATTTTAAAAATAACCACTGCAATTATACATCAAATATTTTCCAAGTTGTATAAGAAGTTACCTATGATTAAAACATGAAAATTCTAGTATATGTGCTGCCCTAGTGAACACAAAACATGAAACTTCTAATAACGACCATTTCCTTCTCTAAAAGCCATCTGGATTGCTTGCTTATTAGTAATGAAATCCTGAAGCCCTCTCAAAATTTGAAAGTGATGACAGAAGAATCAGTAGCTGAGACTGCTTAGATTTCATACAGTTGTGTTACGAGGCAGTGATCTGATTGGTGAGGAGGATGAAGGGGAAGATCTCACATTGCGAGATTAAATATCCCCAACCCTCACCAACCACTACTCTTGGCTACGTAGTGTAAGAAACTTCGTAAAAAGTATTGCATTTCTATTAATCATATAGAAAGCTAGAAAACAGTTTTTGCTCATCTATTCTTTTTCTCATCCTTTTTTAACTGATAAAAATTACCTATCAAGAGATAGAAATGCAGTATTTCCACATAAGAAAAAATTTGGCACACATTTTACCATCAGCATTTTCACATTGGGTCTACACTGTCCAAATCTACTAAATCCACGGTGAGAGGAAGGAGATGAGCATGAGGCTCATTTAACAACCGCACCTTGGATGCCATCATATGGATCTGAACACTGCCAGAGTGGATCTGCTTGGCTGCATTTCTACACTACCAGCAACCAGCCAATGTGAACGCAAATCTGAAAGCAGTTAGATCCTTTCCTCTGTCTGGAGAATAGCTGCCTCCTCCTAGCTTGTCTTCTTTTTACAACAATGTTCATTCTATAACACGTATTCAAAAACTCTTTGTTTACTCCAAATAAATTCCACAACAAAGTTAGCTTAAGAACTAAGTTTCTCTGGGCCTCATATGAATTTAAAATGAAAATAATCAGGCAAACATATTTAACCCAAACTTTCAAAAAACATCTCTAGATCTACTTATGAAATGCAAATAGCGTTGCAGTAAATTCTATAAGAACATCCCCAAAGACCAGTCATATGTGCATCCCCTTTATCCCCTAAGACACCAATATGAGCTTTTGCTTTAAGCAATATTATCGTTCATCCTTAGAGGGAACCTATTTCTCTACTGAAAAGGCAATAAACTATGACCAAATTGAACGAAGAATGAAGAATTTAAAAATAAAGTACTTTATTAGTTTTAGTATTTCATTATTTTTTATTAGTACATGTTCACAATACATAATGATTATGCGCATCATGGGGAGTTGGGGCAGGCACATAGCAGACCTTAATTCTTCTTAATTCTCCTTCCCTTCCCCTCTCTCTACACCCTCTCCCTTTACCTTTATCTCTAGATTCCTTCCCCATTTGGAAAAGATTTATCTCCCTTATTCCTACTAACCATCCTTTGTCTCTTTATAGCGTTATACTTCATGTTTCTCATGTAAGAGAAACCGTGCAATATTTATGCTCCTGTGTCTGAAGACTCATACTACAGCAATACATGCACACCCGTGTTTATAGCAGCCCAACTCATAGTAAATAAATCTTGTGAAGTGGCCTATGTATCCATCACTAGACTAACGGATACAGAAATATAGTACTTCAAAACTTTGAGTATCCTCATCATAGATAAGAACTATAAAGTCTGAGAAAAACCCACTCACATACTTCCTTTAAAAAGGGGTGCTGGGGGGCTGGGGATTTAGCTCAGGGGCAAAAGTGCCTGCCTGGCAAGCGCAAGGTCGTGAGTTCGGTTCCTGGTACCGGAGAAAAAAACAAAAAACAAAAAAAAAAAAAGGGGTGCTGGGTAAAGTTTTATTTTACTGATTCATTTATTATTCTGGTTCATATTATAAACTGTATACAAGTTTTCACACATATAATAACACAAGATAGATATGTGAAATCCTCCCAAAGAGAGAACAACATCAACTAGTTTTTAAAGTAGCAGGATCTCTACCTTTTCTCTGTGTTTAATAAAATGGTTTTCAGTGCAAATAATTACAACTCTTCAGTGACAGCGTTAAGAAAAAATGCTACACATGCTGATAGATACTTGTGTTATTTAATCTAACTTAGATAAGAGCAAATGACACAAACAGAAGCATCGGGGAATAAAGACAAAACATATTCGAGGCCAAAGGTCTTAAAGTGAGTGAAGGAGAAAAGAACCTGGGAGAAAAGGAGATGGGGAGGTAAACAGATAGGAGAGAATTTAAAGATTGAGATCTTTAGTTGGCTGTTTTGTTTTTTTTTTTTTTTTTCTTTTTTTAATACTGGGGAATCGGCACAGAGCCTTGCATGAAGCTACACTCCTAGATTTTTTTCCAGCCCTTTATATCCCCAGAGTTTTTATTTTATTTTGGAGCAGGGTTCCCTAAATTTCCCAGGCAGAGCTTGAAATTTACACCTCCTGCCTCAGCCTCCCAGAGTATTGGGATTATAAGTGCACACCACCATGGCCAGTTTAAATTGCCAATTCTTTTTAAAGTACAACAAGGACTGGGGATTTAGCTCAGTGACACAGTGCCTGCCCGGCAAGCACAAGGTCGTGAGTTTGATTCCTGGTGCCAGGAAAAAACAAACAAACAAAAGTACAACAATCATGTATTGGTAATGCAAAGCTTTTATAACCACAAAAAATCCACTAGAAGACTTTGAAAGAAAATATGTTTTGGAAGTGTAGGAATGGTTATTAGAGTAGAAAGAAGAGACTCCATATACTCACATCAAAATTATCAGTACCCTCCAGGCTTGTACACACTCCTAACCTTTCCATGAGCTCTTGGTTCTGAAGCTGAACACTCACCACCTGCACACCTTCCTTGCAGTGAGAATGGTTTCCCTGGACAAACAGGGAAGAGACCTGGAACAGATCCTCCCTCACAGCCTGATTCTGACCTTGAAAACAGGTAAGAGGCTCAGTCCCTGTCTCTGCCCTCATTAACATAATGTGGTTGAAATCCCTAGAAAATGACTCAGTCTCTACTGGTGAGACAATGGTTGCTATCTTAAGATGCACATTTTAATTTCAATTTCAGACTAGCTCATCTAGCTTTATAGAATAGCAATTATTCGTTGAAGAAAGATGGGTCAGACGGGTGGAAACGGAGTAATGTATTCAAAGTTGGGACTGGCCTTAGGGTTACACATACAACAGAGCCACTCTGTTGGAGACATTATATTTTGGTGACCTAGTGACTTCACTTTTTTATATGAGGTCAAGTGGCTAGGATCCAGAGCACTCCTATGCCTTCTAGTATGACTGTGGAAATAACAGTATTTTATGGAC